AAATGTTTATATTTTTTTTTCAAGTTCTATTGTAATATACTCTTTTGAGAATATGGTTCTGGAGTTTTAATGCATATCATCATAATAAAAACAATATTGTTAACATATCAATTGTTTTATGGATATGGTATGGTTTTTGCTGTGTCCGAGAACAAACAATAAAGTCGTATAATAAATATTTTAACGAAGAAATGTTTAAAACAATTGAAATCGAACACTTCAAGATAATATACACAGTACGAGTCAGAACGAAATCATTTAGCTGTGAACGCTCAGGCTCTTAACATCCATTGAAATTGACGGAGAACGTTTCACGAATCGCGGTAACCGTAGTCCGAATTTAAAATGTTTAGAGAAAAGTTAATAACTGCGGTCTGCTTAATTCTTTCGAATATCGTCACTTTTAATGCTGCTGTGCATATACCACCTGAAGAGGGGTTTTCAGCTAGTAATAACGTGTCCAACATCGGCTTCTATGAATTAAGACCAGTTATAATCAATTTACCGACTTGGTCAGTAGAGTTTAACGATGTGAAAATTAACATGAGCATGAAAGAAACGAAAGAAATACCATTGACAATAAATCATATTGATTCGAATTGGGGTGATGACTATGAGTTTCATATTATACCGGAGGACACAAGTTTGTTGGAAATTGACCATGTAATTCGTGCTGCTGATATACCCAAAGGTGTTAAGAGTTGGAGTGGTAATTTTTCGGTGACTGCAATTTTTTTGGGTGAAACAAAAGTCAAAGTGGAACTACATCGTCCAAATTATGCTCCAGAACGTTCAATGGAATCCATAAGTATTATTATTTTAAGAAAAGAAGGCGCTCTGGATCAAATATTTAAAGTATGTGTTGCGTGCCTTGTAATGGTTTTATATATAAATTTTGGTGCTGCTTTGGAGTTGGATGCATTGAAACGTATTGTACTGCGCCCAGTTGGACCTGCTATTGGTTTTATTGGACAATTTATTGTAATGCCGCTGTTAAGTTTTTTTATTGGTTATTTCCTGTTTCACGATATGATTGAGTTAAGACTCGGCTTATTTTTCACTGGTTCAACACCCGGTGGTGGTGCATCCAATATTTTTACAGTGATATTAAATGGAAATCTTAACTTATCTATTACAATGACTGCCATCAGTAATTTAGCAGCATTTGGTATGATGCCTTTGTGGATCTTTACATTAGGTGCTTTAATTTTTCATGATGGCAATTTTGCAATACCCTATGGAACAATTGCTACAATGTCCTGTTCATTGGTTCTACCACTCTGCATTGGGATTGCTTTACAAAAATATGCACCTGAAGCGACGAAAAAAATGTCGAAGCTATTAAAACCCATTTCATTGGCTTTAATCTTATTCATCACAATATTTGCGTTCACTGTTAATTCTTACATTTTTAAATTATTTTCTTGGAAGGTATTTTTTTTATATAATATTTATACACAGCTTTATTAATTTGATTTTATATTTATTAGATTATCATCGCTAGTAGTGCTCTACCTTGGATAGGTTATCTAATTGGCTGGTTGTTGGCTACAATATGTCGACAGAATGCCAAGGATGCTCTAACAATAGCTATTGAGACCGGCATACAAAATACTGGTATTGCGATATTTATGTTGAATTTCTCATTGCCACAACCGCAGGCAGATATGACTAGTGCAGTTCCGGTGGCTAGTTCGATGATGACGCCCTTACCACTTTTGCTCTTATATTTGATACGAAAATGCTTTTGTCGTACTAGTATTGAGGAAGTAGAGGAGGCTCCTACTAAAGAATTAGGTTTAAATGAGGTCGAAGCAATAGTTGAAAAACAGAAAAGTAAATTACCAGTGGAAAAAAATACAAATTCAACATATTCTACTGACACCACAGACGCGTGAATGGATTTTGACAATGACTCTTCGGATCTACAGAAGCCACAATGGGCCACTCTTGTGTTGAGTAGCATTATTAGTTTTAAATAATATTTTATTTATTATATATTTTATATATTACTTCACATATACATATACAAGTATAAGTATATATTTAATGTCTGTTTTTTTAATTCAAATATTCTCATTTTTGAATGCGAGTACATTTGTATGTGTGCTGCTCTTAATTGGCATATAAGGCCTAAACAGACGTAAACATTATATTGCATTTATAATTATTTCATTTGGTTAGATACACATTTTTATCAGTTTAAAAACACGTGTATGTGTATGTAAAACTAAAAAACAATTGTTTTTATATATCATAATCGATAAGAGATAATTAAGTTAGTTAAGTTGCTTATCGTAAAAAATTTGTAGGCAATATTTTGACTTGTAATTTCGTCTGCCTGTAATCTTAAGTATAATTTATATACCTCTGTTAATTCTATAGAGAAAACAAATAAATACTTGATAAAGAAATTGTTATTAAACTTTAAAATTACTAAATAGAAATATGGAACGCTCATAACAATAATGAACTGAGATATTTTAAAATCAAAATAAATAAATTTAGAAAATAGAATATATTCCTAGCTAACAACGGAGTTTATCTGATAATTAGCTGATCTCTTGTATTGTTTATAAGATTTATGAGCATCACTTATTAAAGTGATTAATTTACATATTAAAAAGAACATACGACCGAATGTCTAATACCCTAAACTGGAACAATTTGAAATCAGATCAGTAAGGTGTTCATCTCTTTGGTTTATTTATATATTGTCCTTTTATTGAATTCTCTCCCACACTCTTCTTGAAGAATAGCTAAGATAAATGCTAATTAAATAATTTAATTAAACACTTCGAGTCACTAGAGAACATATCAAGAATCGGAACAGTTCAGTTAAAATCAGTATGCAGTCGGTTCGGCCAGCTAATCACACTATACAAACACTGAGATGTTGATCTAGATAGGCTTTAGTTATTAAAAGATTATATGACAACGGCACTATTCCGTCAATAGTTCTGTTATTTCCGTTAATAACTAAAATAACGATTAACTACATAATTAAAGAGACTAGATACAATATCAAAAATCAATACGGTTCAGCTAAAATTGGGTTTGACTAGTCGTACAAAGTTTTTAAACACAAATCACATATCACTCTACCGATAGATAGTCTGTAGAAGCTCTTTTAGATATACAAATCATCTAAAGATTTTATAAAAATGGGACGATTCTGTATCGTTTAGGAAAATGGATCAGTAATCTTTTATCTCCATTCAAAATGGGAGGCATCGTCATTTAGTCATAGTGCGCATTAAATGATCTTATAAATTGAATTCTTATTAATTAAGCATTATATTAAACGTAATGTATATTATACAATAGTTAAGTTAGATCTTATAGATAAACGTGGTATCCCAACGGGTCCATTATTTGAACTTAATACGGGCACAAGTTCGCCATTTCAACCTAACCTAATTTAATCTCATGGGTTTTTGCTTGTTATAAAATAAGTAAAAACTAAACTCCTAACTAACAACATTGAAAACGAGTTCTAGCAAAATTAATTATAAGACCGTTTTTTAAAGACGAACACCAAAAACATGTAAAATAATTTGCCAGTAGCGCTAAAAATGGGCAATAAATAAAATTGAACAGACAAATTAAGAACAAAGGGGCTTGCTAACAGCACTAAAAATGTACGAAAGACTTCTTAAGATTAATAATTTATATGCAATAAAATTATTCAGGCAACAATTTTAATCTGAGTTCTATTTGAAAATAATTTTAATATATACAAGTAGGTATGTACCGTTTTGTCTAATTGAGAGTTTTAATAAGACGTATAGTTTATACGATTTGATATTTCTCGTTACTGTGTTGGAAGCATTTTAATTAATTTAGTTGTATTTATCTATATTCTTATTATATATATAAGCAATAAAATATTCACTTAAATATAATAAACTGTATTATATTGTGACTGTATATGTATACAAATATAACAATTATAAATTATATATGATAACGGGCTTTTTAATAAATAATAAAAAGTTTTTATACATCCTATTATAATAAGAGGATATAATGGATATTAGTGTAATTAAAACTTTATTATTATAAGGCAAAAAAACTATTTTGAAAAAAAATGGGTAACTAATAAGAAAATTAATAAGTTCGAAAACATTTTGTAATTAATATGTAGTAATATATAATTTATATGTAGACAATAAATAAATAAAATATCTAATGGATTTGGATATTCCTTTCAACACATATATCATATATCTTTTATAATGAATCAAATGTTAATACAAAAATAAGTCATAATAAAGGAAAGGTAAATAATAAAGCGCTTATTTTATAAAATAAACTTACCTTTATTGGCTTAATATTATTGCCTGGTAGTGCTGAAGCTAACCAATCATTTACACCGCCAGATACAGAATCCCACGAAGTATGTGGTGAATACACTGCAATAGATTCCTTCAAACACCGCGCAACAATGCGTTCTTTCCAATTACTATATTGATTTTTTTAAATAGTTTATAAATTAAACTATGCAAAAAAAAATATTTTATGCACTAACCTTTGTGTTATACGTTTAAGAGATGCGAATACTGGCGGATGATAAGATATTATCAGATCAGTATTTTTTGACACAGCTTCCTCCATCACGGATTCAGTTAAATCATTTGTAAGCAATACAGCTTTAATACAGCTTTAATTAAACATAAATTAATAAATAGAATTGCTTGAAAAAATTAAAATAAATATACGTTTTGTTATAGGGTTCTATGAGAAGACCCACATTGTCCCAATCCTCAGCCAAGCTAGTTGGTGCAAATTTCTCTAATTCATACAAAATACTTGTTAAACTTTTTCCTGCAGCCATATTGGAATTGTGTTTTGGAAATAATTTTATTAAATTATTATTTGTTCTTAAAACACTTTTTAACATTAAATTGCAATTAGAAAACTATATTAGCAGTAAACCGGCGTGGAGCTTAATCATATGTATTACGAATATTTTGTAAAACGAACTGTCAAATTAGCAATGTTTACGAATGCGAGGCAAATGAAATAGAAGAAAATAACTTGGCAGCACTTTTAATAATAGCAATTAAAAAGGGATTGGAAATTTGTATAAAATAAAGAATAATTAATTTAAATTAAAATATAATTAAAATACATTATTAATTTTGCATAAAATATAAATAATATTGTTAGAAATTATGAAATTATGTATGTATGCGAAGTATAGTGTATTATAAATTGGTTTAATTAGCGCAGAATTAGTTTATTTTCTAAGTCCAAAGTATATGCACTCAAATTCCAATTAGCAGATATAAAATATATAAAATGAACCATAGTTTATTATATCCAATTTATTATATTCAATGAGAAAATGCCGCTCTTAACTCCCTCTGGAGTCAACGTATGTAAGCAGAGAAAGTCACATAGATTCTCGGAGGAACGCTGGATCTAAACTATAAAAACTAGAAATTATATATCTTACTGTAATCTGTAGAGTAAATTTTGAATAGTTTATTGTTATTATAGGTTTGTGTATCATATGTTTTTAAAATACTATAATAATTTAAAGACCGTCATCCTGAAACGTCATAAAAATTGTACATCTATCTAAAAATAATACAATAATGCTAATTACACTGTCCGACAAACTGAACTCTTTCTTCTTTTTTTGTATTTTTAATTTCCAACACTGTGGCTACAAGTTTGGGAATATAGTTAAGATACTTATTAAATGTTGCAGAAGTTTTAGTATGCACAGTTCTATTTCTTCTGATATATCTAACGTTGACATTAAAGTCAAGATACTTTCAAAATTTTACAATACTCTTGTTTTTAGTGTTAGAGATATTCTACAGGAATTCTAATACAAAATCTAAGTAGAAACTTAACTCCATCTGGTATGGCTATATATAAGACTAGTACAGTATAGAGTAGGAAACACACACTCATCAACACTTACGGCCAAACGCCTCTTAGAATCTAAAAAGATTATATAGACTAAAACAACATTCAGATCCAGATTCTTCATACATGAGTTTAGTCAGCGATATTTTGGTTGCAATATAAGTTTTCTTCTTAAATATTATGCTTATATTATTATTGTGTTCATTATTATGATTTGAATATTATTATTTTAAGAGTTATTATTATTTTGATTATTATTATGATAAAATATTATTATAACTTTTATTATTAAAATATTATTTTTATTAGTAATTATATTATTTTCTTTATTATATTAATATTATTATATTATTATTAAAATTATTATTATTCAAAGGAACGGTGTCAGCAAAAATGATCGAAAACAAAATAAACTGTAATCACATAACAATGTTTGCTGAAAAATTTTAAGGTTGAAAAAAGTAAATCTTGACAGAAGACAGCTGGAGCAAGCAGATGTATTGCGCAAAGATGAAGTATGGGGCTAGTCACCTAGATATAGGTCACACCGATGGAAGTCTGAAGTGACTAATAGGGACGCTATCTCGAGGTAAAACTAACGTAGTTCTGGAGTAGGACAAAGTCTCTAGGAATAAGGGGGATGGGGTATAGTCCTTGGAGTTGAGAACTCACTTTCAGGGCCGCCGGATCGTGGTCTGTACGTAATCATTACACTCCTCGCCGCAAAAAAATATATTCAAATGATCGATATTATTGTTAATTATAAAATTATAATTAATTTAACGTAATTTTTTTTAAAACTTAAAATGAGTATATGTTTTATTTTTAAAAATGTTAATGTCGACTTCAATTTTTATATATATTTGTATTTTGGCTGGGTTTTAGGTCGTTTTTTACAACTTTTAAATTATATTAAATAGAGAGGTTTTGAACACTATTCAATTGTAATAGTTTTCATTAAATAAAAGTCACTACCGTCATAAGTGACGTTAAAATCAAATTTAGTAATATTAAATGAAGTGAAACTGAATTTATGATTTAATTTATTTTAATATTATTTAAAGGTTATGAAAAACGTTCTAAAGCCTGACAAAACACAAATTATATATATGTTATGTAAAAAAATTCTCACAAAATCTGAGTTAGAGCTTCAAGCACCTCTTAAAGTTCATTTAAGATTTTCATACAAAATCTACATCAAACATCAGTATTTGGTATCGCTATGGCCCAGGCTTTCAGCTATATTAAACCAACCTAACCTTAGTTATTGTTAAATAAGAAATTCCAAAAATTTAAATTTTTAAAAGTAATTTGCTTTATTTAAGTATATTATATAATTTTAAATGTTCATTTTACATATTTTATTTTAATCTTAACGATAAATATATATATAAATAGATATTTGCATATAATATAATAAATTTGTTTATTTATTGTGTTTTATTTAACATAAATAATTTTGCTCATATTTTATTCACACAAATGCTTTGGTTATTGCTGCAATATTTATTTTAAATAATTTAATTTCTTAAATAGTCGATTTAAAATGTTATCTACCATATAAGTTAAACGTTATTTAACTTTAAATTAATGTTTTAACCTATAAGCCAAAATGTTAACGAGATAGTTATTGTTAATTACAATTAATAATTGTTTATACTAATTTTAATTATAAGCCACGCTTCGGTTTCAAGGCCTCTTAAATTTACATTTTTTTCTTAATTTAAAATTTAATTACTACTGTTTTAAAATTTAATTATTACTAATTTAAAATTTAATTTTTCTTAATTTTTAAATTATATTTATAATTAGTTCGGAAAAGGCATTTTTAATTTCTTAAGTCTTTTTGTTTAATTAATATATATTTAGTTTTTAAATAAATAAAAATTTATAAATTATAAATTTTTTTTATATAAAATTTATAAGTAAAACTTACATTAGTTATATGACTTACTAATTTTGATTTTTCGTATATTTATATATATATTAAAAAAAATATTTTAATTATATATATTTATACTTGTTTTAAGTTTTTAAGCGGTTACACCGATGTACATCTTTTTTGCAGATAATATACATATAAATATAATTTTTCATATACATATATAAATAGATTTATATATATATATACAAAATTTATATATGTATGTATATATGCTGCTACATATTAAAATTGTTTTACAGTCAAAAGTTATATGTACTTATAAGCAAATAGTTTGAAAAAATAAAATTACTTTATTAACAATAATTCCCATATATTTTATTTATAATTTTAGTTTTTAAATGTTTATTCTAAATAAAAATATTTCAGATAAGATATGCTTTGGTATATGGTTTACGGGTTTCTTAGACGTTTAGTTATAATTGTATAAATAGCACTTAGTTTATTACATATAAGATGAAAAATTAAAATGTACTTTTCTTAAAATAATTTAAAATTATTTACTTATTTATGTATAATAGAGTTGTATTTTCTATAAACAATTAAATTATTTGGCGTTTTCTGCCCACATGAAGCTTTGAATTAAAAATTTACGATTTATGTTACCCAAAGCATTTATTTATATTGATAAACTAAGTTTAAGCAATTGACTAGAGAAGGAGAAAGACAGCATGAGAGTAAGGGAGAAAAAATAACAAGATCTAGATATATGAAAAGCGCTATGAGAGCTAAATCTATATTATTTGTTTTGTTTTTATTGCTCTTGTTTGAATTATATTAATTAATTTAATCTAATATCTATTTTTCGACTCCCAATAACTTTGCAGCTTCATCAGCAGATGATAGCAACTTATTCAAAATACCTTGATCGCTGATGCCTAGCAATTTTCCGATGAGGTCGCTTTGATTGTTCTGTTCTTCAGATATATTTTCCTTTTGCTCTCCGAGTGTTGAGAGTGCACGACTCGTACGCCATTCATTAGCTTTCGTTAAAAGTTCTTGAATTTTATCGGGTGTACGTATTGAATTTGTTGGAGAAGGTACACATGGAGTAGTTTGCTCATCGTCTGAACACTCCGAACCACTATTGCCAGCGGCAGAGAAGTCACCATTATTGTTGCCATTATGTTGACGTCCATTGTGTTTTTTCATGTGACGTAGCATACTGTGTTTTAGAGTGAATTTGCGAAGACAAATTTCGCACTGGAAAGGTCTTTCGCCTGAATGAGTGCGCATATGGCGACGTAAGTCTTCAGTTGACCAAAACCGGCGTACACAAAATGCACAAATCACTTTACGATTGCTGTAATCAGGATATTTGCCAGTACGTGGCATGCTGCCTTCATCGCTTGGACGACGTTCTTCATCTTCAGCGCCATTCATAGCATTGCCCTCGGCTTCTGTTTCAATGGCACATTTTGCAAGTAACAAAGCAAATTCATGTGAGTGCTGGTTTTTGATGTGTTCCAAGCATTGTGCACGTTCAGCAAAAGAGTTTTCGCATAGATGACATTTAAATGGCAGTTCCGAAGAAGAAATTGTACTATTTTCAATTTTCGGACTACTGCTGGCTGTGTTGGCTTGCAGTTGATTAGCTATGACTTGTTTATTCGCCTGTTGCTCCTGTTCATTTAATTGCATTTGTCGTTGTTCTTTCTCAAGCCGCTCTCGTTCTAATTTCACTTCTTCGGCTTTTCTTTTACGTTCTTCTTCTTCGCGTTGTCTTTGTTGCTGCTCTATTTCTTCCACGGATTTTGGTACAGGAATGGGTTCGGTAACATCTTCAGTTGGTACATAAACTGATACAGCAGATTCGACGTTACCGTGTTTGCGTAGTAAATGACGGTCGCAGTTACTCTTGGTTGTGAAAAGCAATGGACAATGTGAACACTTAAATGGTTTTTGTCCAGTGTGTGTAAGTATGTGACGTCGTAATGAGCTTGACCATGGGAACATGCGTTGACAATATGGACATGAAACACGATTTGGCGCTAAACTATATGCAGATTTTTTTTTAGGTTCTGTAGCAGTGGCAATATCTTCAGTGCCGGAATTGTTACTTTCGCTGGCACTACCAGAAGCCACCAGACCTTCTTCATCACTTTGTTCCATATGATTGGCTACGTCACTTGGGCGAAAGTAACTATTAAAGGACACTGAGTTGCTGGTGGCATTATCAACTAGTTTTGAAACAGGTACTAGATCTTGAGATTCATCTTTGAAAGGTGAACTTGCAACTTTTTTTAAGAATTTTCCTACAGATTCCGCTTGAGCAATCATAGATTTCATAGTGTGTGCTGGTGGTGCAGGCGCTTCGGGCTTTACGATAACATCAGTATTCTTTCCTGCCTTTATAGCTTGTTCGAGTATTGTCTCGGCAACTTTCTTAGCAGCTTCAATTGATTTTGTACTTTCTGCAGGAACAGTTTCTTCAACAACAGGTGTTGGTAACTGTTCTTCTGGCAAACTTTCGTTTAAATCAATGCTTTTTTGCACTTCGTCGTCATCTTCATCATCATCATGTATTTCTTCTGCTTCATCCTCATCTTCTTCGTCAATAATTAGTTTGGGCTCATCATCTTCGACACCATTTGAGTTAACAGTGTTCAAAGGGTTAAAACTAAATGGCTGACCATTAGTCATAGTCGGCATTCCGGTGTTGCTGTTATTTGAAAGCATATGACTTGGTTGCACACTACTGGAACCATGTGCTAACGCTTGCTGCAAGAGATCTGTGTCCTTGCGGGCTTTCAGTTGTTGAGCAAGTATGGCATATTTAACTTGTTCAGATATTGGAGGTGCACCCATTCCATTATTGCTATTAGTTTGAGCCTGTGCAAAAGCGGCTTGCAAATGCGTTATGTTATTCATAGCAGCTGCGTTGCTCACTCCGCGTCCACGCATGACATGGTGACCATTACGTTGACGTTGTGCATAAAATTGTGGATGCTGTTGTTTAACATGTCGTTCCATATTTGAGCGTAATGTAAATCTGGCTGAACAATGCTCGCAGGCGAAAGGACGTTCAGTGCGATAACGTCTCTGTTTTTGTTTTGGCATCAATACACCATTTTTGATAACCATCTTCACTGGTCCACCGGGTAATACTGTGGGCGATATGTGCTTAAGCATATTTCGGTTTGATGGTGTAGGGGATGGTATTGCTTGTGGTAACAATGCACGATTCGGAACAGTTGAAGGCGACGAAAACGGAGGAGTGTTGGGTTTATCTGATAAGAGTGGACTTACTTGTGGCAATATAGCAGCTGCTGAGTTTGTAGTTGGGTTGACATTAGATTTACTTGGATCCATTATTGGCAACGAAGGCGCGGATAATGTGGGCCCAAGTGGTAGATGATTCATGAATGGAGCGAAATCTTGAAATTCATTCAAGTTGTTCGGCAATAGAGATTTTTGCAAGAGTGCTTGGTTAAACATAAGATTGATATATATCTGTTGAAGATACTTTGCACGATCCATTTGCATAGATTGCTGAAAGTATTGCGCTTGATCTAATGGAAATGATTTTGGCAATGTTCCATTCAGTATATCAGGAAATAGTTGTTTATTATTTTCGAGAAGAAATTTGTCCCAGGAAAGATCGAATTTGGGTACTTCGTTCGGTGGTAGCTGGATATTCTTTTGTACAGAACTTATTTCCGGTTTCATGGCAACAGGTGAAACTGGACGAGATTGTTGCGCATCATTATTGATCGATTTAGTAGCTGGTTTTTTACTTAAGTCTAAAACATTTGTGCTTAAGTCCATAGGCGTAGTTTCTGGTGTAGCTGCTGTAGTTTGTGTGCGGCAGCTATCATAATTTTCATTATAGCTACTAGTTGAAGATTTGTCCAACAACTTCTCTAAACTTTTAACTTGGATTTTCATGGGTTTTGAAGTAGTATTTTCGCTTGTGAGCATTTCTTTCAAATGCGAAACAGGTGTGGACCGATCTTTTGGCTGGTGGTGTTGATATGGCAAGTCAATGTCATCATCAAATTCAGGTGATGAAAACAAATGCAACTTCTTATTAGGATCATCACAAGATGAGTCTTCAGATGGATGATAAATTATGGCACGTTTCACTTCATCACGTGTTGTCTTAGCATGGCGATTGCGCAGATGTCGTTCACAATTGGCTTTTGTCGTAAAAGCATAATTGCAGACAGCACACTCGTACGGGCGATCACCATTATGTGTGCGCATATGACGCACAAGTGCAGCTTTGTCACATATAGAGTATGGACACATGTTGCAACGAAAAGGACCAGCTGGTCCAACAGAACTTAAATGCACACGATTGTGTCCTTTAAGTGCGCGCAAATTTGGAAAAACAGCATTGCACAGTTTGCAAGGGAATTCACCGCGCAGTTTCATTTTGCGAAATTCTGCTGTGAAAACGTCTTGTGCTTCTTCCTCATCTTTATCCAAACTGTAATTGCTGGAGGGTGTATTAACGGACTGCTCAAAATTCTTTAAGAAATTTGATGTAGAAGATGGTGAAGTCATATTTAAGATTGACTGAATATCTGCGAAATCTCTAGAATCCTGGGACTGTTGGCTCAAGTTATGTGCTAACTTCTCATTATCTGTTTCAATTTTGATACTAATTTCTAGATCATCGGCAGCGGAGTGCTGAGGAGAGGCAACCGAATACATGCCCTGTTGATTTAAAGTTTTATTTTGAAGATATAATTGCCGAAAGAATTCCTCACGTTGGTGAGGATGGCCGTTGTCATCTACTTCTTCTGCATCACCTGAACTTTCGCTGAGACTGCGAAGTCTATTGCGATTCTGCTGTTGTGAGTATGACAACTGCTTTGGATCATCTTGTATGCATTCGCGCAAATGTGCATCCAAATCCTTAGCAAGCGTGAAGTTATGACAACATTTTGGGCACTCAAATTGTTGAGTTGCAATTGCTGTGCGCATGTTTTGCTCGGAGAGCACTTTTGCCATGTGAGGGAATTTTTTATTGGACAAATCTTCAAGTGTCACTCCTGAAATTGCTTGAGTTTTATGTGAGCATGGATGCTCATTGAGTTGACGATGTGTGCGAAATATGACATCACAATGACGGCATTTCGCTGGTATGTCAGGATGTTCTGCATCCATATGTTCACCAAGCAATAACATGCTAACAAAATCGGACTCATTACACACAGGGCAAGTGAGTATGTGCACTTCGGAGGAATGCGCTGTTGATGTTTTTGTATGTAGATTAGGCCCCTCCGATAATGTTAGACGGTTTTCATCGCTAGCACCGATTATGTTATTGTTAATTGTGGTCTTCACGCGTCGCTTCATCATTGTATTGTCGTCGGCGTCAACGCGATTATCACTATTTTTGCGTTTGAAATTAGTTACGTTGTTACAGTGATTATTACTGTTGTTATTGTTGTTGTTGTTGATATTATTATTTTTGTTGTTGGTCTTAATATTGTTGTTGTTGTTGCGATTATTTGAGCTCTGGCTGATGGCACTTGATGAGTCTGTTGAGCAACCTCCATCACTTTCATAACTTTCTATGCCGTTGCTATTTAAGCGCTTACTGTTTGCACCTGTGATATTCATTGCTGCTGCTAACTTGGCTGTAGCTGCTGACGACACAGTCAACGGCATTGTGGTTGTTGCTTTTCCAACTTCACTACTGAAGCCGTTTATCATTTGCACATTAGTAGCATTGCTGGCATTAGAAAAAGAGATGGTGGCGGCGGCAGGTGTTGCTGACAGCAATGCGGTGCCAACTATACTGGTTGTGTTGCTGGAGCTAATGTTGTTGTTGGTATTAGTGTTGTTATTGTTATTGTTCTTAGTTCCATTCGAGTTGCGACGATGATGATTATGTTGATGCTGTTTATGAGTGCGCATGTGGCGATGCATATTACCATTTGTTGTAAATGTCAGATGGCAATATTTGCAGTTAAAAGGACGCTCACCAGTATGGACAAGTACATGGCGATCAAGTGACGAGGCAGATGAAAGTACCTAATAAATAAAAAATAAAAATAAATTATAATTATTATTAACATAAAAAAGGTATATCATTGAGTATATATAAATTGTGTATAGAAAAAATTTTTTTGCCTCACCTTAGAGCAAATGCGACATGTAAAATTTTCAGTGTCGCCCGAGGCATAATTATGACAGCGTATGTGATTGGTGAATTCATGTGGCGTTGCGGAGACAACCTCGCAAATTGGACAAATATATTTGACATCCTCTCTTTCGCCAATGCCAGATTCTGGACTAGAAACAGATGCAGCACCGCCAGCACCATGCGGTGATGAAGATGCGGACGATGTTTGCGACACTGCGGCGGATATTTGAGGTGAGTTTTGTGACTGTTGCGCATTCATTGCTGAAACTGTAGATGCATTCAAATATTGACTATTTCCACTTGCATCCACAAAACCGGACTCATTATTAGTTAGTGAATTTGTATTGTTACTGATATCTGCGCTACTACGATTCAAACGAAATTTCTTACGCAAAGAATTCGGGTTATCCGCGTTGTATTCTAGTTTAACATTTGTACGTTTATCAAGCCATCCGGTAACGCGCCTCTTATGGTGCCGCTGTGAACGTATGCTATTTTGTTTCTCATTCGCTGAGTCATCATCGTTGGCTTCATCTGAATCTGTAAATGCAGTTTTTTGCTGTTCGATGTGCGCAGCATCTGAATTGTGGCTGGTGGGAATAAGACGTTCTGTTTGTGAGCAGCCATTGCCATTGGTTAAGTGTGGCGTTGAAGTTGCGGATGTGTGTGTATTTAGTTTCTTTGGTGTACGCCCCAGATCCAATTGTTCTAGGGATGAATCTGATGTTGAGGAATCACGACGTTCCTTTTTGATTTGTGTCAATGTATGACTATTTTCCAATGATGGATTTGTCGTTGTTGTTGTAGTTTGTGCAGCTAACATTTTCGTTGTGTGTTTGAGATCTTTCGAGATTGACTTTAAAAATCAATATCTAAAATGAGAAAATTTTTTCCAAATTTAGTTTAAGATTTGTATTTGTAGTTTAAGATTCGATAGATTGCAATAAATGAGATGAGATGATGTTTCTGAGATTTAATAAAAAAATTTATGACTTTAGAAAACCTACTAGATCAATTCTATTACTGATTTATATATCAATTATGTATGAGATGAGATGTTTCTGAGATTTAATAAAAAAAAATTTATGATTATAGAAAACCTACTAGATGAATTCAATTATTGATTTATATGGATGCAGATTTATAATTTAATATAATATATTAAGATGGGATGGTTTTGAGATTTAATAAAAATATTCACGATTATATGGTAGAGAGCCTATTGATACACTTTTCTTTATTGATTTATATGATTTTAGATATATAATTTAATAAATTGAGATAAGGTGGTGATGTTCCTCAGATATAATAAAAAAATTTACGATTAAAGGAAGTCTACCATATACATATTTTTATAGATTTTATTTTATTTATTTTTAATATTTTTTTGAGCTGGGTTAATGATGGTACGGAGATTTAATGAAGAAATTTACGAATGCCTATTAGATCAATTCTATTATTGATTGATATGATTGTAGATTTACAAATTTAATTAATTGTGACAAGATGATGATTCTGCAAAAAAAAATTATAAATAAAGAAAGCCTACTATATACATTTTTTTTATTGATTTATATAGACTTAGATTTATAATTCAATAAATTGAGATGATTATTTTTCTTATTGCTTTCAGATGCGTTTTTTAAAAGTTGGTTTTAAAATCATTTGAAATTAAATTTAAAAATCATTTGAAATTAAAGTTAAAAATCAAATGAAATTAAAGTTAAAGTTAAAAATGATTTAATCTAGATTCCCGAATTATGGATTGCCATGTGAATAGGCCACAACCTTAGGAACATAACAGCAACCGTCTAAATGTATTAAACAATATACGTTGTTTGGGCTTAACGTGAGAGGTCACAGGAAATTACAAAAAAAAAAAAATAGAAGTTTAGGTAGCATAAAATTATAACTAACTATAGTTGCTTTCGGCAACTATTACGTGTGGCAAAAAAACTACAAGTAGCTGGCCTATAGTTGCTTAAATGTATGCAAAACAACAACACTACTTTCACTGTCTAAGCACTTCAAACATTTTAGTCAGTATAGAAAAAAGTGTTACCAACGCAATAAGCGAACTGTTGTGAATCTTTATTGGGAATTCAACGAATATTCCAATCATATGTCAAAGTTTATAATCAAAAATTTAAATAAAATTAAAATTAATTGGTAATTAAGAACTAAGTCTATGTGTCATAGCTAAACGTCTATGACAACCAACTGTTTATGATTTTCATTGAAGTGACTGAGTCTATGACTCGATGTTACACGTCTATAACAATCAATCCCTGTTTATAAGTCTTGTCATTAGTTTTATCATTTGACAATGGCACGATACCATATCTGCTTGGTTTAGCATTCAGACAAATGGCGCAATCTTGACTGAAGAGATAAACAAATTTAGGCACTACTCTTATTGAAGCCACATCCAACATTATGATTTCTTTAACATGGTAGATTGTCTGTTGAGTCTGTAGAGTCTGCTCAACATTCCAATGGAGCATAACAGCTACGACAATAGAACGTTTAGTTACATCAACCCCAACGTAATATATTGAACGATTCTCAGTAGCGCAGAGCATTATAACCACATAAGATCTTTTGTGTAAAACATAAAATATTATAATTCATTTATTATCAATACTATTATAATATATTGTATGTTATGTATTTCTAAGATATTTTCAAATATTTTTTAATATATATGTAAATATATATTTCTATTAGGTTTTTTTCTATTTTCTTTTTAAGTTTCTATTTTAGTGATTTATTCTATTTAATAGTGTACTGCTTATAAATGTACATATATATGGAAGTATTTTCTTTTTCTGTTTTTATCGTTTCATGTAGCATATCTACTTTAAAAGAGAAAAATAAAAAATAAATAAAAGTAGTTCTGTGACATATTTACATATGTTAAGATTAAATTTAGCAGCGCTAGAACTTGGTAAACATATAAAGGTAGCACTCTAGGCACCCTATAGATAACAGCTATCAATTTTCATTATTTAACATATTCACATGTCATTGTTCTATATTTTTAATGCGATATATCAAATATAAAAGTGTTTATGGTAGCTATGAGTAATAATAGAAGAAAGTAAACGCTATCTTCGCAAGTGTAATAATATTGATTAGTAAATCTGGAACTATATACATATGCTATAGATTTCGATCTGAAATAAATGCGTAATATTATAAAACATCTTTTTATAAAAATACTTTCTTAGGAATTATGTTATTTATTTTTTTATGAATATTATATATATTTTTTATTAATTACATATTTTTTTATATCAATTTTATACTTTTTTTATTAATTTTAAATATTTATAAATCTGGAATATAAATCTGGAAATGTATACATATACTATAGTTTCAGATCTAAAATGAATGCGTAATATTTTAAAACATCTTTTTATCTAGATAATTTTTAGGAATTATATTATTTATTTTTTTAATAATATTATATTTTTTTTTATTTTATTTTATACTTTTTTGTTAGTAATTTTATATTTTTTTATTAATTTTTTAATTTTTTTTATTAATTTTATATATTTTTTATTAATTTTCTATGAAATGGCCTTTTATTTGAGTCAATGTTTTATGATCATTTTTCACATGATAAATTGTCATTTTTAATAGCCAATTAAGATCATAAAGAAGTTTGGATTTATACTATATATTAATAATAATTTATTTTTAGTTCCTCATTTATAAGACATTTGCCACGATAGTACTTAAATTCTAGGAAAATTATGCTATATATGTCTGAACTCAAATTGATATCTATTAGATATTTTTTAACCGATTGCCTTCTAAAATTACAAGAAGCTTAATTTAATTACTTTATAAATGCTTGCATCTCAAATTAACATAACTATTAATGAATATCCGAAATATTTATTGTAATAAAAGTTAAGGTTCATATATATATATATATGTAAAAGAGCATATATGTATACGAGTATATGTATATATATATATAAATTTTCAATATTTGAGTGACTTTATTTATTTTTCTTAAGTCATCGTGACACCTTTGAAAATAATTGCAAAACTCATACACACTAATAATAATACAAAATTTTGAAATATTTTATTTGCTCACATCGATTATTTTTTAATATTTTTTTTTATTTTCAGATATTTAACTGGATTTTCGGCATTGCAGATAACATTTTATTGATACTCGTACTTTACATACGCGAAGATATTGGCGTATACCGAGTCTGAGTCATGTGAACTCATTTATTGATATGCAATCAAATTATATCTGAGAAATTTAGTCATAAGTGTTTTTATAGCCAAAGGAAGCTGATATTAGAATATAAAATATCATTATTTAGAATTTAATTTGAGATATATAAATAATCTATGTATATGAGTATAAAATGTTAAAGTTTTTATTGTATTAAGAGTTTCGTTCAAAAAAATGTAAGCTGCTTTTATAGTAAAAAAAAATTGAAGATAAAAAATACAATACATATGATATAAATGAATGAATGATTAATGAATAAATATTTTATAAGCTTTTTTTAATAAACTTTATAACGGAGTGGAATGTTCTGAGTTCATAGCAAAGCAGTTCAATACGACCATATTAGTTCCTTTGCGGTAACAACTGACCCTAACCGCAGAGAAAATAATCTTTAATCAGCATTCGACTTATATTCAATAGTATAAAATATCAGAGAAAAGGATTTTGGGCTGTAGGAAAACCGGAATCATTGAATCATATGAGTTCTTTTGTGTTAAGACAAAACACTGACTCTAACCGAAAAGAAGACAATCTTTAATATGCAGTCAAATTTTATACAATAAATAATAAATAATAGTAGATAACAGGGTTTTGGTTCTTAAATGAGAAGAATCACTCGATCATAGTAATACTTTTATACAACTTATCGTAAGTCAACAAAAGACATTTAGCCATTCAAATCAATATTCAGGATATTACTCATTGAGGTTTTTTTAATATCAAACAAAAAAGATAAGTAACAAAATGGAGCATATGCGCTTCTTATATAGAAGAAGAATCTGTGAACCATTAAATCTGTTAAACACATGAGCTTTCAACCAATATTCTTCTTCTCGACCTGAATAGAGTACGATGATTTTACACAATTCCAAATATGTTAAATGTCAATCATTGAGAATTTCATTGGGATTATAATATCAAACAGAGATAGATATAGCAAAAGCTATGTCGCCATTAAATCCGTCGGGGACTATAGGTTCTATCCAATAATCATTTTGTTATTCTTGATATAAAATATTTATTATTATATATTATATAATTTATATAATTTAATGAAATTTTCTTTAAGCTGTAATGTATAATTTTTTTTAAATATTGATTAGTTCATATATATATTTATTACAATTATACAATTTTTATGTGTAAAATTAAAAATTAAAATAAATTTATTTTGAAAGAGTTCTATTAAAATAATTATTTTTTAGTTTAATATGATTACTACAAAAAATGTATCTTAAAAAAATTAGTTATAAAACTTTTAAATAAAAAAATAAAACTTTATATAAAAAAAATTACTTAATAATGTTTATTTTTATTTATGCCAAAGTTAACTATTTTCATATAGAGAAAATATTGTATTTTGTATATTTTTTTAAAAACAAAAAATATTTTTTTTGTACGCTATAAATTAATTCTTTAAAAAGTATTAAATTCATATTAGAGATTTTTTTAAATAGTCAAAAATTTAATAATAATTTGAAAATTTGAATTTAACTTTATAAAATATACTTAATAAATAGTTGCAATTATTTTTGTTTTTAATATTTTAATTGATTTTTAATTGAAGAAATTAATGTTGAGTTTTTGGTTTAATATATATTTCAGTATTGCTTACCAAATATATAATTGTTATATATTAAAAATCTATTTAATTTATTGTTTTATATTATTTATACGTATATAAATAATTCTTTTAAGAATATTAAGTTTCACGCTATATTTTGTAGCATCTATTTTTTTAATATATAAGGTTTTAGAATAAAGTTTGTTTTTTAATTATTTTTTTATATGTGCCAATTTATTTTTTAGCATAAAATATTTATTTTTTTATTATCATTTTAATGACTAAATTTTATTTGTATATTTTTGTGTGAGTGATTGAACAATGTTAAGTAATATACAACTTTTTAAATTAGTTTGAAAAATAGTAGCCTAAAGATGACTATAGTTTATAGTTGAAATATCGGTAACAATAAAATTTTTTTTATTTGTAGTTTTAAAAATAATACCCTGAGAGATGACTATAGTTTATGGTTAAAATATCCTAACAATAAAATATTTTTAAAAGTATTATAATTTAAAAATTTGTGTATTATTTAATTATAACTTATTAGCCCGTATAATATATAATTTTATTTGGTAAAATTTTTAATTTTATAAATTAAATTTTTCATTTTATAAAAAATGAAATTTTTATTTTTATTAAGTTTTTCATTTTATGAAAAATGAAATTTTTATTTTTATCAAATTTTTCATTTTATATGATATATTAACTTTTTCATTTTTTAAATGAAAAATGAAATAATTTATAATTTATTATAAATTTATTTAAATTAATAAATTTTATTTTTAATAATTACATTTTGCATTTTATAAAAAATGTATTTTTTATTTTTATAAATTAGGTTTTTCATTTTATAAAAAATGAAATTAATTAATTAGTTTATTATACATTATTTTATTATTATATATCAAGTTTTTCATTTTATAAAAAATGAAATTAATTAATTAATAAATTAATGAATTATATTATTAAAATAAATTAAACTTCACATTCCATAAATAATAATTTTTGTTTTTTAAGAATTTATATATATAATTTATATTTATAATTAGAGGGAATTAAAATTGTAATTTATTTAGAAAAATCACAGATTAAAAATTTGTTAATTGCATATTTTTAATATTATATTTTTATATATGATTTTAGTGTAAAAATAATATGTCTTATTTTATTTTATTTTATTTAAAAAAATATTATAATTATAATTACCTTTGTTTACATTGAAATTGTTTAAAATTATTTATGTAATTCTCACTCTTAACTTTTGCATTTGTTTTTGTTTTTATTTATTTTTTATAATCACAGTTTAATTATGAAATATTTGTGTTTTGTAAAATAATTTGTTTAATTTTTTTTCTGTCATGAGGTAGTAGCTTTATTTGTTATTAATTTTTAAAATATTAGTAAAAATTAATAAACTTTTTTTTTTAATTGCACTAGTAGTAAACGTCGTGTAATGACACTATAAAGTTGTATTATTTTTGTGATATGTATATACTTATACTTAAAATCACTTATATGTAATGTAGCATATATATATATATAAATTAATTAAGTTAACAGTGCGATGCTGAAAACGTTGTATCCACATCCACGAGCGCACGCAAAATGACGCGCTCAGTTTTCAAAAAGTTAAGTTCAAGCACCAAAAGCAGACGTTGCACGATTCAGTTTTCTTACTCAAGAAGAAAGACCCAAAAAATAAAAATTTTTTCTGTTTTTTTTTCACATCACGCCGAAGAGGAGGAAAAGCAAGCGTATCCGTTACACGTATTCTTACTGTCGTTGTATATGTATTTTCCTTTTCTGAGCTTATCTTATTTTTTTTCACAATAATTTATTTTAGTTATTTTGCTTAGTATATAGTTTCCTCGAAAATATTTTTTTGTTTTTGTTGCTGTATATATATTTATGGTTATTATTATATACGGATGTTCGAGTTTTATTATTCTTTCACGCACGAATTTATCCTTTACCGTTTGGCAGATGAAACTCGACTGATTTGAGAAACCATCTAATAAGTAGTATTTAAAGAATCCACTTGGAGATTTTTATGGTGGTAGTTGTGCTGTTCAAAAGACGCACATACACAGTCATATATACATAATGCAAAGGGAAAATATAGTGAAGAGCATAAATCTTGCGAAGTGTGAGAGCGATAAGTTGGGGAAGAGCGTACATATCAAAAAGCATTTTTTTTCAATTCTCATACAATTACAAATTTTATTATCTGAGCGGAGAAACCTACACATATGTAAATGCAATTTAAAGGTGGTACTTTGGTTGAGATAAATTTTTTGTTTTTCACGTTGTGTGTCTGTTTTCATTTTGCAGTGCTCAATAACGAGTAGGAAGCTTACGTGTTAAGTGTTGTTGCCGTAATACTCGTCGCCATAAATGCGTTAGGAAAAATTCTACTGGAGATGATGAAGAACGTTGTGAACTATCTTTTTAGATATGTAATTTTTGTTGGATTTTGTTGGAAATATATTTTTTATATATAAAATATATATATTTTAGAATTTATATATTCAATTTAAGAAAAATGATATCAATCTTATATGGTATCTTTTATTTATATATGTAAATAAATATGAGGTAAGCGTACGCATGTCTATTGCGTATAGTAACAGATATATATATATATATATAACACATATATACCACATCCGTATATATACTGAAGTTACCAATAAATTATTCTCAGAAACTAGATAACAAAGCAGATTTACACAAGAATAATTGGAGTTATGTGGTAAAGGATTATGCTGCAAACTCTATGTGAGAAAGAGACACAATATATGTTAAATTGTAAATAAATTTGAGTAGCAACAACATTTTTTAATAGAAAATTTAAAAAATTTATAAATTCTATTTTTTTTATTTAAATTATTAAATAAATTTAAATTTAAATATAAATATTCTGTTCTTTACGAATTTCTTTAATAAAAAAATAAAAAAGAACAAAGTTCCTCATCGTCTCGAGTTTCGTTACAGTTGAGCGCACCATAAAATTTAGACAAGGTGATGCGCTTCTTGCCATTCTAAACCCATAACCCATACCAAAGCAGCCTATGCTTCTTCTTATACAAGTATTTCTGAGGTCAGTCACGCAGTCAAAATTGCATAGGTTTTTTAATTAAACCTTAACAACGATTATAAGTACAATAAGAATGCAGCTGACTATGTACGATACATGCAAATTACTTGAGAGCATAGATCAAGGGTTCAATTGATTAAGGAACATACCATACATATAACATTCTTACCTTTTTTGAATTTGTCAAGAATATTTTTCAATTCTGTATAGGGTGACTATAGTGCATTGTGGTCAAACTACTAGTATGTGTAGTCCAGTTTGATTATACGAGTATTGTACCAAACTAAATGATTAATATTTTTGTGTAAGAGTTTCATATATAAAATATTTATAGATTAATGTTAATACTATGGAGTCAAAAAGCTAATTGTATCACAAGATGAACATTAATTTATGTAATTGGAAACATTTTTAAGTATAAAAAAATTAAATAATATAATGCAGCAATACTTAATAGAGTTTAAGCTATGAATGGAACCTTCTTTGAGTATATGAAGCTCTACGAAACTTGAACTTTATCAAGAAATTAAAAAATTCACAACGATAAGCTTATGATTCACTCAATTCCTACAAACAGTTGCGAGATACGGATTTTCAATTGATATATTCAGCAGAGAAAGTCATACTGGAATATATAGGCGTAGCCATGGAGCATAAGGAAGCAGTGACTTCCTCTAAAATTGTGCCTAAAGTAATATTTAAAGCAATTTGTTAATGAAACGAGATAGTAGATCTTCTCTAAAAATATGTTGTAAGTAATATTTAATAATATTTCGTAATGGAAAGAGGATTCAAGGGATAATAGTTATTTTCTTTATATGCGATGTATATATCAGCAGCTCTGGCTTGTATCCGGGATACACCTATGCGCAAAAAATATATAACCCAGTTTTAGTAAGTTATGGTTTTAAATTGAATCTAGAACGAGTATATAGAAAAGGGATAGAATATCATAAAATGTATTTAGTCAACGTTTGAAGATATATTTGAAGGACTATTCCTCAAAGTGACAAAATAATCATTTAAAAGAGTGTTGATTAGTAATAGGTTATATGCTAGAAGACTTTACCAGAATAAAATCATTATAATTAATTTGTTAACTAGAATTTTGTTAAAAAATTTCATAAATGTGTACATGACGTAGATATCAAAGGTATTGGGTCCTCTTCATAACTATAACTATTCCCTAACACAAATTAAAATCACAATAAAATTAACCTATCTGAGGTGATAGAATGTCTTGAAGTCACTTATTAATATCAACGATCAAGTATACGTTACGATGGTTAATTTATTATTGGTGTAACCAAATCCAACTATAATAACAACAATAAAATATCTGCATTATAATTTAATATATATAAAATAGTAAGTGACAAACGGTTTTTAAGTAAAAAAAAATTCGAATTCATTATTAATTGAGCAATTGAAACGTGTGAGAATAATTAAATATTTCAATTTTTATACTTCAAAATAAAAGCTCGATATTAATCAATATTACTATTTTTGATATACTTAATATTGATATATGTAGGTATGTATGTATTATATTTATGTATGATTTGTGGAAACACTTGGGTGTTTAAGTTAGTTTTTAAGAATATACTAAATCTCTGCGTGTTACAAAGCTATTAAAATTATTATTAAAGAATAAATGCACAATTAAAAAGTGCTTATAATTTTATTCATAATTGGATGCGAAAGTTATGAGACGACGTAAACTTTTATTTTCATTTAATAACAGAAAGTGCTTTCATTTTTTTAAATATATTATGTTATGTTTTAGTTATGATGAAGTAGTAAATTTATATTTAAATTATAAAAGTTCTTTAATTTTTAAATAGGATTTTTAGTACAATATTCAGTATTTTGATATTACTGAAAAGCACATCTTATAGGCATGTTCACAAAGTTCTAATGGTTAAAATTAGCAGAAGAAAGTAACACTTAAGATAGTCTAAATAGTACACAAAAAATAGTTTGTTTAGAAATAAAATATTTGCTGATGAGCAATAATTAGTAGTAGAAGAAAATATTTGAATAGCAAAAACTATAAATATTAAATTTAAAATTTTAATAATAGCTTTAATATGTCTTCTAACTAATCATAGAAGATTAATTCATTTCTAAATAATTACACTTATATCGCCAAAAATGTTTAAAAAGAAATAAATATGGTTGCTATTATTCGCTAGAAAATTTTGCCGATAAAATAACTAGTAAAACCATTTTTAATTTATTATTAATTTTTTTATATAGAATTAGGATTAATGTGTGTGACTAAAATGTTCGTATTAATTTTATTAGACGTATTTAGATGTAGCATATGTGACTAAAATTGAAATAATTCGACTTATAATACTTACTTACGCACAGTAAAGTGCAACATCTAATTAAAATCAGTTCAAGTCTAGATTTGATTCAATCATAATTACTCCGTATATATTTGCTAATACACATACACACATTAAGAAATATGGAGGAGATGGAATCTTCCAAATTTTTTTTGGCTACATTTTTCTCAACAGTTCAAATGATTTCTCTGTAATTATTACAGTTAGTTCTTGTTCTTCGTACATTTTCTTAAGAGCAATTTTAGTTACTCTTTACATGTGAAATTGATTGCATGGGATTGATTAATGTAATTTAAAATTTATTATTAAAAATCATAATATATTAAAAAATCAAATATATAAAAATTTTTATACTAATAATATATATGTTAGTATATAATCTAATTTAAAAATAAAATAAATTTTTTAATTCATACTATTTATAAAATAGTATGAAGAAAAGTGTAGTATATATGCAGTACATATGAAAAACAGGCGGCAAATAAATATTAATTTTTCATATCATAATGTGTTAAATTGTGTTCAAGTATTTTAATTGTGAATAATATTCAAGTGTTTAACCAAAAAGTAATTATTAATAGTTCTAGTAATTCATTTGCATAAAATTCAAATAAATATATTACAGCTACAATTGTATTACAGTTTTCTTATTCCAATTCGGTTTACGGGGCTATTATTGAAGAGCAAGTGATTGCCTCAAAACGTGCTAAAAAAAGAGACGTTGAAAAAACAAAAAAGGAACGTAAAAAATAAAAATCTAAGACTATTTTTTCAGAATCGGATTTTCGTCAT